ATCCAGTAATGATTTAACTATTCCTTGAACTGAAATGTTGGTCAAAGGAGCTACTGGAAAAGACAAGGTTGTCTGTTATGCTGTTAGGAGAAGAGCCACAGCCCTGTTCCCTTTCTGCAAAAAAATTGAATTATGCCCAGTCTTCCACCTCCTAGCATTTATCTACGCCACAGAATACAGGAGCACGCAGTACCGAGGAAGGGAGGGAAGTCTGGAACTGTCGTGCTGCAGTTAGACAATAAGCTGTAACCAGGACATACTCTTTCTCCTAGGAATTATGCATGACATAGCTAAATGCCTTTGTTCTCTTGGCAGTGCAATTACGTCAAAATCACACTGACCTCTTCTCCCTAGTGTTGCAGAATTGCTTTCAAAAGGGTTTATCAGAGTGATAAAGTACAGTTGTGAAAGGAGATGCGCTTATAAAATCCTTTAAATTAACCTGAGCTTCTCCTGCTAATGAACTGCCTTCTGCACAATATCCAGCATGTAGTTTTCTTCAATGCAATGAACCATTTTCCTCATCTGATTCTTGCTGGAAGTAAAGGCAATGGCACATCTAGTTCTCTTTCAGATTTTATTGAATATTTTAGTATCAGTAGGTGGGGAACATTTCAGGAAGAACTCCATTGCTTTCAGACTAATATTCTGCTCTAGGCTACATGGGGACAGAGGTGCTGTACAGTGGTCAGAATCAAATCCAGAATTTCAGATTTTTCTTTTTTTTTAACAAAGAGATTAATATTTTTGCAGGTAGATGGTTCTTATTGTTTTATGTGCAGGCCTGAACCTCATATATATTATATATATATAATATATATATATATATATAATATATATATATTAATATATATATTTTTTTTTTTTTTTTTTTTTCTAGACGTTTGCATGATCCAAGTATGGTTTCAGAGCAGACAAAGCATGACGTGGTGTGTTGCACTGATGCTTTCCATCCAGAGTATGACCCGACTTTCAGTCCTGTTCTGATCAAAAATGACTTTGTCAGCTCAGACCTTTTTGCCCTGGTAGTCTGTTCCCACTTGGCATGCAGTCCAACATCAGGCTGTGACAATCGCAGATGTATTACATAGGATTTTTTTGTTTTCTTTTTAACACTCTCTGCACAGTTATCTACTTTATTCTGATCTTAATGTTTTTCTTTTAATGAATAATCTATTAGGTGAGAATAGTGTCTTGCTGAAATGGATAATGCTCTTTTGACTAATAGATACTGTAAAGTCTCCACTCACCTTTAAATTCAAATCAGCTTGTATTTCCTAAAAATGAAATAATGAATGCTTGGGAAGCATTCTGGACATTTATTTACACAGTAGGTTTTTTTTTTACTATTTTCTACTGCTTTTATATTAAAACTTTTCCCAACTGCTATTTCAGAAGTCAGGAATGAAAAACAAATCAGTGCACTCCCTACTTCTTGTTTTTGTGGGTTTTTTTTGTTTGTTTGCAGCTTGTTTTTTTTATTGGGAAGGGACTGCACCTTCGTAGATCTTCTGGATTGCATTTAGCTGACCTGAGCTTACCTTAAAGCAGGTTCTCACAAGGTTTGAAAAACAGGAGTTTTGTGTGTGAATGTGTGCTGGGGTCGAAGGTAGATTGCTAACAACTTGTCAGTAGTACTTAAGAAAAACATCTAAAAGGAATAAATTAAATCTGAATGCTCAGATCTTAAGATTCTTTTTATGTTTAAGATCAAAAGCAAGAGCAAAGTAAATTGCCAGCTTGTCATCTCAGTATTATTGCATTGATTTGTTCAGATTTCTTTCCTAAGCTTACTAATAAAAGCGAGGGGAATACAGTTGAGTGAACAAAGAAATACTATTGAAGTAAAAAAAAAAAAAAAAAAAAGATTTCTATTAATACACAGCGGTGACCTGTTTGTTTCTTTGTTCAAGATGTAACAGATTCTAACACAGCCATAACAAGAATGAATTGTAACACTGGAAATAAAGAATACCTGAAAACTGAAGTCTGGGAGCAGTTTTCACTGTGTGATACCTAAGATGAATACTAATACTAGCAGAGGCTGGTCCAGAACACCTCAAATCCACAAGGGCATTTCAGATTTGAATACCCATCCAGTGGAATTAGCATCTGAATGATAAATCTGCTAAAATAGAGAATTTGAATGAACAGTGTCCATAAACAGCAGCTTGCTTAAGGCAGTCTGCCTCACATAGCCAACAGGAGGTAAAATAATTTTTAAATCACATGCTCTGTTGGTGTGGAATCACATTTGCAGTATTTATCAATTGCTCCAATTTCAGTTCTTTACCAAAATACTTCATTGGGTGCAGGCAGGTAGCAGATGCTAATCATAACCGGGAGAAGCTGCAGTATTTGTTGGAAAAGAAAAAAAGCTGTGTGACTCATGGGCCAAACTTTGCCTGGCTTTGGTTTTGCTTGCTGCTGATTTTGGCTAAATGGCCTAAGATAGGTGCCTCAAAAATCTCCTGAATTCTCACACAATGGGAGATTTTGTTTTTTCTTGTAGTATAACTGAAGTTGTTTCCTTGCTTTTTATTTGTAGTCCTTCTAACTACACTAAAACTGTAGGTTGGAGTTTTGTTTACTTATGATGACACAAGTCTTCACTTCTGGTCTTCTTTTAGTGCTAAAGGTTAAATTCCATGGACGGTAGAAAGCTGTTACTTTACACACACTGATGCTTCCATTACTTATTTCCCTTACAGAGCGCTTTTTCTCTCTTACTAAAAGTGTCACATGCAATTTGCATCTCGCTATGATTTTGAATGTTATTTTTTTTCCTAACTTTTTCAAAGACTGAAGTTGTTTGGAAAAGTGGAAAATATTAAAATGAACTTATTACCATAGTAGCACTGTTACTGAGTAGAAACTAGTAAAGATATTTTACAAATCTAGCTGGTGGAGTATGCAAGCAAGCCAAACATTTGGCTCCTTATGTTCCATCTTTGGAGACTAAGCCACAGCTTTTTACCTTTAACAGGTAAAGACCAAGATCCTGTCAAATCTGTGATATTATATGCCTGAGAATAGAGTCTAGAATGTTACTAAAGATACTGATTATTTGTTGGGCACTTGAAGGACAGGAAAATGCTATGTCCATAGATACTTTACAGCCATCTCTAAGCTGGCTCACTCTTAAAATTATTGCAACAAAGGAAGATAGTCTCAGTCTAACAAGTAAGATGTCATATATAAAGTTCCCACAAAGTTCAGTTTTGCTTTCTGTACTGGACACGATACTCAACCCCACCATAACAGCTCTTGGTTGGGCCCACACTGCCTGATGCTTCAGGCAGGAATGTGGGGGCCTAGAGGGGAAGCAAGTGTAGCCCCAAGGCTTGGATACATGCACATAATGAGAAGGAAATACCCTCTTGTTCTGCCTGGATTACTTAAGGATGTTGTATTAGATAGTCGCTGCAACAAGCTGCAACATGGAGCTTGCTCTCAGTGAACTGACCATAGCGTCAGTTTATATTGTAATTCCCTATATTGTAATTCTAAAAACAATATAAAAGCATGCAATCTCTGCAAAGAGCCCATTATGTCACACTGCTACTTTCTGAGATATTCTTATTGGATTTCTCTCAAGGAGGAAAAAAAAAAAAATTGACTGTTTTGCTAGGTTCCTGCAGCCAAGAGCAAGCTCTCCGTGTTATAATGCTGACTTACAAGTGTAACTGTTACACAGATAGGTGGGTGTTACAGAACAAAAGGAATCAGTACTGATAAACAGGATTACAGATTAGTTTCATTTGGCAATGACTTTCACACACCACTGTTCAATGTAAAGTTTGCTTCACTCTCATTTCCATCTTGAGTCATTTGCTATCTGAGGAAGGTTTGGCTTTTGAAATATGAAAGCCTACATAGCTTTTACCAAGCACATAGCAGAATAATTTATATTTTGCTTTCCAAGCTGCTTAATTTTTAACTATAGATTGATCCTAGTTTATGTATTTTACATCAGTCTTCAAATCACTGTCTATCTCCCCTGAAAGCAAAGGACAGATGTAGCCCACTGTCTTAAGACAAGTTCACCTACTTTCCTATCATTTAATGATGGTGAACTGAATCTAAGCCTACTGCGGGCAAAAAGGTGAAAGGCATTCTGGCTGAGGAAATGAGGATTTCCTTGTAAAGCTATAACCGTGGTCCTAGTCACAGCTCTCTGCCTTTACATTGTCTATAATCTCTTCCAGCATTTACTTTGTCTGAAGGCAAAAATCAGTTGTTCCTAGCATTTTTTTTGTCACTAACAGTTATAACAACTCATGAACGACTCATTCTCTGCACTGGCACTTGATCAGGACAAAATGCATGTTGCCTTTTGTGTTAAGCATGGAATGGGACATTAGGTTTCTTTATTTAAAACCTAAATATCTTTGAAAATAAAAAATATCTATGCTTTTTGTTTTGACTTTTTTTTTAAAAAAAAGGGCCACTTACACTTTGGGTAAATAGCTTTATGATCTCTTTAGTGAATTTTCTGCATATTAATTAACAAATACAGCTCCAGTTCATAGCTTTCAGCTTATGTTTCCTTGACATAATTCTTCAGGTAGTTATTTATTACTTTTTTTTCTAAATTAAATCGATTTCCTCTGGTGTATTCCTTCTTTCTAGCCAAAAGGGTTAGCAAGATGACAAATGCCTTGCAGTAAGCATAAAGACGTGGGAATCTAATAACCCTAAACAAATCTAGTGGAGTGTTAACATCATTCTTTTTACTCATTTATTATGGCTACAATTTATTGCTGTTAATTCATTATTTGTTTAAAATGCAAGTTTGGCTGAATGGTTTCCTTTTCATTTCATGCTTTATGAACCACTAAGTACTGCAGGTAATCATGGCACCTGTACTTACTATCAAATTTTTCCTGCAACCCCAATAGTGGTGTAATACAACTTCAGCAGTGCCTTTCAGTACAAACACATATTATATATAAACTGCAAATGCTAACTATATGTATGCTTTTTATTTTTTTAAACAGGCGTTAAAGCTGTGTTTTCAGGACATTACCACAGGAATGCTGGGGGGTGCTACAGAGGACTGGAAATGGTGGTCTCATCAGCAATAGGATGTCAGCTGGGAGAAGATAAACATGGACTTCGAGTGGTCCTTGTCACAGATGAAAAGATTGTTCATAGATATTACAGTTTAGATGAGTTGAGCAGCCAAGGCTTGGAGAAAGAGATGATGGATATGCTTGCTAAGGAAAATTAGGCTATGCGAAATTCCTTTTAACTCAAGTGGTTTTTGTGATCTTTTGCCATATTTGTTAGATGAACACAAAGAGTTTCAGAAAGTTTCCACAACTTGAAATCAAATTTTTGCTTGTGCACCATGCCCATGAACAGCTCTCCATTTGTTATCATCCTAAATAACAAAAAAGAGTTCTTGACGTATATTTTTGTAAAATGAGACCCACAAGGAATATGGGAAGATAACACATCACTGAAAACATTTTTCTGTTCTGAGATTTTATACTCTCCTCATGGATAAGACATTCTAAATAAACAGGAAGTATATGCAAGAGTGAGAGTAGTAATTCTAGGTGATGCTTCAACTGAAGACTATTTTCATTTGATATGTAAGACATTAGAAAAAGAAAAATCAATAAATTCAATCACCTCAGTTACACTCTGGACAATACAAACTTTTTTTTTTTTTTTACTTTAGAGAAACAAATCTCAAAAAGTCAGTGAAAGCAATAGACTCCATTTAAATACAGTACAGGAGGTGAAATACTGTGTTGAAGATTCAATTTCATTACATTTTAGTTACAACATTTTATTTGAGGGCTCATGAGATTTTAAAAATATCTGCAGTATTTTGAACTGTTTTCTTTTCCCAGTATAACAGCTGTAGCTGCAAGTGGACAGTACCAAACATGAGCTACAATCTCATGATGACAGCCTAAGCGTAGGTAATGTTTGAATCAAAAAGAAAGAAAATGATTTTGCTTTTGATCTCCAGCTGCTTTTGATTAGTTTAATGTTTTCACAGGTTCATTTTCAAGGGAACATGCGGAAAATGGGAGAGAAAATCTAAAGTTAGCTAAACACCCAGAAAGAAGTTTCACTGGAAGTTAAGCAGTTAATTTATTAGTTTAATAGTTAAAAGTCATTTTTAAAAATCTGTGTACTTTTATATCTTTGAAACCACTGAGTTCTGTTAACATTTAGTCTTAGATTACATTTAGTAATCACAGGTTATTAAAGGTTTCAAAAACAAGATGATACTAGATTATTACTTGCAGAGGGAAGAACAGACTTGCTATTCAGTCTGGCATTTATGTTTTAAGGCTGAAAAAGTTCAGCAGAGGGACCTGAGACAGTCCAAGCACAGAGCACGCTCCCTGCTCTGGCACAGTACTGTAAAGCTGGATGGAGGACATGCTTTTTTCATATGGCCGTTTATTCAATGTAATTTTAACTGAATGTCTGAAGCTTGGGAGATAGGTCCTACCACCATAACTTCAGGAGGAAGTCTTTCCAAAACTACGAAAACATTAATAGTAGTGGTATTATAGAACTCTAATTTTATTTTCATGGTTACAATGTACTAATATACATTGGAAATGTTTGCATAAGCATCATTTTAATTCATATTTGTAAATTATTTTTCCTCTTCTTAGTATCATTTCATTGCAAGAAATTCCATAGCATTCTGTCATAAAAATTTTGCTCAAGTACAAATCTGAAGTTCAATTAAAAGAGATTTTATATCCCAAGTACTCCTTTTATTTGGAATGTGCTTTTTTACCTGCATAAATGAAAAATGTTTTTTAGATTAATTTTCTTAGTATAATCAGCTACTTCAGAATTAATACGGATGCCTTAACTAACTACAAATGGCAGAGGTCTTCACGGTGAGAGTGCATCATATTTATGTAAAGTAACTCATATTCACAGAATCACAGAATTGCAGGGGTTGGAAGGGACCTCCAGAGATCATGGAGTCCAACCCCCTGCCAAAGCAGTTCCTACTACAGTTCCTACCTACTGTGCAGGTTGCACAGGTCGGCATCCAGGCAGGTCTTGAACATCTCCAGAGCAGGAGACTCCCCCACCTCCCTGCAGCCTGTTCCAGTGCTCCGTCACCTCACCTAAAGAAGTTCTTGCGCACATTCATGTGGAACTTCCTATGCTGCAGCTTATGTCTGTTTCCCCTTGTCCTGTTTCCATGTACCACTGAAAAGAGACTGGCCTCACCACTATGGCCCCCACACCTCAGGTATTTATAAACCTGGATTAGATCCCCTCTAGTCGTCTTTTCTCAAGGCTAAATAGACCCAGTTCACTTAGCCTTTCTTCATAGGGGATACTGTGTTAAATTATGAAACAATCCTGGTTTGCCAGTTTAAACTGAAGAAAATGCTTCTTCTGAATCTTTCTTGAAAGAAAGTAAATGCTTGATGTCTCATAAAAAGAAAAATATTTTATGGTGGGAATGGGCAGTGATAGAAGTGAAGCCTCTTCTACCATCTCAATTTAAGACTGAATGTTCCATGCTCACCTTGCCTCTTTGCTTCAGTGAATGCTCTCTTATCTCTCCACTGTAACTTGTTTCCTGGTGTGTTTTTAGGAGCAATTTTAATTCTGCTGTGAGCAAATGGAGATGTATCTATCATAAGCAAATGAACAGCACATTGAAAACCAAGCATTTCACCATTTAAGAATGCACAGTTCCTCTGTCTATGTATGTCACTGTACAAACCTTTGAAGGCTAACGTCATTGTTTCAGTTAATGTTAGTGCTGTGAATAAGCTGCTTTCTGTAACGCCCTCATTAATCCTGCTTTGCAACTGCCATTTGAACAGTGATATCCTACTGAAAGCAGTAGGAAACATTTACATATACTTTACTTATCAGAAAGCTTGCCTGCCAAACAAACCCTAGCATCATCTGTTATGATACACATTCTTGACCTGTGGAAATACCAGTTTGCATGAAAAAATTGTGAAAAGGTAATTTCCCATTCAATAACATTTTACAGTTTGTAAGAACTTCCTTCTCTTCCAGTTCTAACCTGATACATGATGTCTGCCATCATTGGTAGATGGCAGAATGCACAGCCAGGAACCAAGGAGGTGAGTGGTTTAGCCTGCCAGTGGTCTAGATTGCCATGAACCATTGGCTCCCACTTAGCTGGAAGTTGGCAGCTGTCCCACCCTGCTCCTAAGGGACGCTAGCTACTCCAAAGGCTGCTCTTTGCTGGCAACTCTCTGCTGGCAAGTGGCTGCTCTTCAGCATTTGTCAAATATGAATATTCACAGCAATGCAACATGACTAATTTTCATTGTTAACAACTATATAAAGGCTGGTCAATATAGCCTGAAGGTAGGCTCCCCACTGCCATAATATACACAGTGTACAAACCAGGGCAGACTTCCTCCTCCCAGCTCCACAGATCCCATTGGGCCCTTTTAAGGATGCACAAATTGCAGTAACAAAACAGGGTGATCTAAGGCATGTCTACTTTGACTCACAAGATAGCAGTTATGACTTCTTACAAAAATTTAATCGTCAGAGCAATATAATTCATCTGGAGTAAAGCAGCCCATGAGTTTAAAGACTGCTGTTCTCCCTACTATTACTTGTTGCTGTTTTTAAGGAATATGATGACTGTAATGCGTAATTCCAATTTATTTCATTTTACTGCAGTGAAAGCAAAGTGGTTTATTACCAAAAATAAGTTTCCAGCAACAGGGATTGCTGTACTTACTCAGCACATTTCAGGATATTTTGTTCAGACTGTAGATTTTTACATTCTCCTTAAAAAATTTTACAACATCATAAAAAACAGTGGAAGGAACAGAGCTTAAAATGGAAGTATGAAATGAAAGCTTCTTCATGAAAAGTATGTTCTTTAAGAGTGCACTGTTTCAACACAGTAATAATTAGTTTGAATTATTGTAATGCTATAATGTGATGGAAAGTACAGCAATAGTAGCAGGGTGGCACAATCCTGGGCTGCAGAAAATGAGAACAAGCCTAAAGGCTGCAGCCACAGATGCAGAAAGAAAGGAAGAAAAACTTCTGACCTTTGGAGGACCTCAGGTACACAGGGATCTCCAATGAGATCCCCTCACCTCCTCCACTGCCAGCCCTTAAATGAGGGCTGGGAATAGGTGGGTCCTGGTTCCACCCTTCCATCACTCAGTGCATTGCATTGCATTGCATGCACCTGAGCTCCCTGGGCTGCCCTGCCTTCCCACCAGGTGCTCCATCACTGCTTCAGGCCACGACTCAGCATTTCTGATGTAGTTACGTTTTTAAGAAAGCGAGTAAAAAAGAGAACAAGAGAAAAAGAGGGAGAATGCTATTTGTTTCTGTGACCCAGTTTGAAATAGTCCAACTGAGAAAACAGCGTTCCTTTTCACTGCATAGCAATTTAACACAGATGTTAAATGCATTGGCAAAATTGAATTTATTTACAAACATCAATGTCACTGATCTGTCAAATTAATATTTTTTTCCTATTCTTATCATTTGGTACACTGTTGCAATAGGTTAACTGAGTTTGTTTTTTTTCCTAATGTGAATTTCTGAGCCTAATTATTAAAGAATTTTGTTTGCTGTGGGCAAATGCAGGGGGTGGTTTCCAATGTGTCTCATTCAAAATTAATTCTAAATTTTACAGCTTAAACTTTTTATACAAATCAACTTGCATTAGAAAAACACTTCAAGAAAATCAATGATTTGAAAAGATAGAGAGTTGTATACATATCAAAGGGAAGAATCTAAATATATCCAAAAAATGGTGGAACTATGACAAAACTTCACTTACAACAATGTTTAACCCAAAGGACTTTCACAGAACTATTTGTTTCATTCCTGTTCTTACCTGTACATTAGGTGGTATAAAAGTTTCCAGCTCACACTGTTAGATTATTTCTTAGCTCTCTAATATCAGTGCCGACATCTAATTGCTCCCCTTATCCTCCTAAGAAATAATGCAATCCTAATTTATTATGCATCTCATTAAAGATGCATTGTACCACTAACCAGCTAAAGGTATTTTACTTGAAGCTTCTGGAATTTATTTTTAAGTCTTCAACATTTTAATTGCTTTGCTTTGCCCTTGGGTTCCTAGAAATTAAATATAAACACACAACTTTCTATGCAACTAGAATATAACCCATGAAATTTCTGTACTCTTAAACAACATTATAGCAACACAAATTTATGTGCTTACATTTATTGCTACTGTTTCTGGTGTTTTCCTTCTTCCCCTTTCCCCACTTCCCCCTTCCCCCCTCCCCCCCTTTTTTTTATTAAACATCTAAGAAAATAATTCTTCCCTTAGTTGTCTTCAAAAAGTAGTTACACCTGGTAAGGTTTGAGATATTAAACTACTCCCTGGCTTTTGAATATGCCTCCATTTCTCTCTGTCCTATTATTATATGTCCTATTATACTCTGGGAAAAAAATCTGGTTGCGCTAGCTGTAAGTCCACAGGTACGCCCTGTTAAAACAGTCTGGGTAATGAAGATCTCAGGACCTCAGGGAAACAGGCACCTGCTATAATCATAAAATAATAAAGGCTGGAAAAAACCTCTAAGATCAGGCAATCCAACCATCAACACATCACCACCATGCCCACTAAACCACTAACCTCAGTGCCACATCTTCCCTTTTCTTGAACACCTCCACAGACAATGACTCCACCAGCCTGTTCCAATAACACACCACTGAGAATAATTCTTCCTTCTATCCAACAGGAACTTTCCCTGGCATCCCTGGCATTTCTCCTCTCATCCTAGTGCTGGTTATATGGGAGAAGAGGCTGACCCCCACCTTGCTACAGCCTCCTTCCAAGGAGCTGCAGGGAGTGATAAGGTCTCCCCCTGAGCCTCCTCAACTCCACACTGAACAACCCCAGTTCTTTCTGCCGCTCCTCATAAGACTTGTGTTCCGGACCGACCTTTCATAGCTTTGTTGCCTTTCTTTGGACACACTCCAGGGCCTCAACAACTTTCTTGTCATGAAGGGCCCAGAACTGAATACAGCACAGAACAGGTGTTGTGTACATCAGAGCTGAGTACAGGAAGATGATCACCTCCCCGCTCCTCTTGGCTGCGCTGTTTCTGATACAGGCCAGGATGCCCTTGGTCCGCATGGCCATCTGAGCATACTGCTGGCTCACGTTCAGCCAGCTGTTGATTAGAGCTCTCAGAATCCTTCTCCAGCATGCAGTTTTCCAGCCACTCAGTTTCAAGCCTGAACTACTGCACTTGGTTTTCAGGAACTTCATACCACTGGCCTCAGCCCACCAAGCCAGCTTATCCAGACCCCTCTGTAAAGCCTTTCTACCCCTATGCAGATCAACACTTCTTCCAGTTTGGTGTTATCTGCAAATCTACTGATGGTGCCATCTATCCCATCATCCAGGTCATCAGTGAAGATACTGGTAACATAATAGTAAGTAGATGTGGTCTGAGTTAATTGCAAAGATTAAGAAATTATTTAAGGTCCTTTCCATCCATATATTCATTAGGATAAAATTTTGCTGTTATTTTGTTTTGCAAGCATAGGAACGATACTGTTATACAATTTGATTATGCAATCCCTGTGATGATATTCAAAGGCATGCTATTCCTAAACAAACTTGCTGCTATTCAAAGATTCAGTTGTAAGGAGAGCTGGTAATGCAAACTCCAGGATGTGTGATCCAGGGGCATTATTTGAGTGTTTCCTACAATGTTAGAAGGTGAAAGCCACTTCACTTTAAGCCACCGACTGAGGTTCAGGTCTTAGAAATCTCACTTTTACACTAAGATCTGCTGAATAGCAATCCTAGTTTAATTGAACGTGGTGTAGATTCAGTCCTCTTGGGGACTTAAACATAGTGAAGATATTGTTTCATAACTAGGACATTGCCTGACAGAGCCTTAGCAGAAAAAAATGGAAAGAAGTTTCTGTATTAGAACAGCAAAGCATGTACTCGTCAAAATTACTGCATGCATTTAGGGAAAATAGTTGCAATTAAACTAATTATAATTTAAGAGTACTTAAATGACTAACAATAAAGACTGCATGTTAATTTTTCTGCATTCACCAGGCATCCTTCTCTGGCCTTGTACGTGAACCACCTGATACTCTACAAGGCCACAGGAAAGAGTTTATCTAAACAAAGTCATCTGTTTTCTTTAAAAATGCATGACTGTTTGCCAGGTGGGAAAGCTGCAGTTTGAAGTCTCTCCTTTAGCAAAAATTGACAAGGTAAAAGAGGAATATACACCTGAAATGCACATCTTTTAAATGTAATAAAAGAACTAGCAAGTGCATACTGCATCCATCAGTACCTCTTAATTCTCTGCTAGGGAAATCAGATAGCTGAGTTTCTTCAGTGTTAATGCTCATCCTTGACTCATTTCTTTAAGGCTATCAGAAAAATGTATTGTGTTCAGTGTTCCAATTGAAGGAACTTAAAAGAGCCTCCCATTGTGCATAGGAACTCATACAGGAAGGCACACTGAAGCACTACAGAAGGAACATCTTGAGTTTCCAGTAGGTTCTCAGTTTGTGGATTCAGACATAAATGGCATCAACTTAGATTCAATACCAATATTTTAAATTAGTGTCTCTGTCCAGAAACAGGGTGTGGAATTGTCCAGCCAGATCCCCGTATTTGGAGGCTTAATAATAGAGAAAGAAGAAAGGACAGATTGACAGACTTTTTTTTCCCTCACAGACTAAACCTTCCCTGAAAACAGGTACCATGACAGTAACATATGACTGAGCATCCAAGTACACTGCACCTTTTTATCACCTCAGCCCTGAGAAGCTACTATGTCAGTGATAAGTACTTGACAAGACATGACTAATGCAATTTAATGCACTTAGAAGTCTTGATAAAAATAACCATTTATCAAAGAAAGCTTTTTAGTAAAAAAAAATCTTTGAGTATTCTTACAGCCTTTGCAAAGTAAAATCAAGTTTCACTGAAATTAAGACTTTAAAAGCCTTCAGAAACATTATTCAAAAACATTTTGATGTGCTGAATTGTTAGCCACTTTTTAAGTGACATCAAAGAAGGAGGAAATTAAAATTTTAGTAATACTTCAAAATATCCTATTTTGATTACTTGACCTGATATCAAACTGTATGGAAGAGTTGTATTCAGAAATGTGTGTCTGTCATCATCTCTGTTCCTTAAGCACAGCATAAAAGAAGCAAAAGGGCTGGGAAAATTTAATATCTAAAATTTAGTATCAAGCAAAATATGTGGAAGTGGTTTAATTTCCGTACCTCAGTTGTAAATTAGACCATTATTACTCTGAACTAAGGTTTACCAAATGTCACTGAACACATTTCACAATATGTGTCAAACAAACTGTTGGATAAGTTCTTTGTAATGTGCTACATATGGAGTAACATTGATTCACTTTAGAATGAGGACAATACAACCTTCAAACAGAGTTTGGATTTTGAGATATCAACTAATTCATTCAAGCATTTTCACCTAGAACTCATCAGAAAAACAACTGCTCCCTTCACCCTATAGTTAATGTCCAGTCTCTGGACACCACCACATCTACTGGACACCACCATTAGCCAAAATCCAGGATACATGTTTGGCTAGTTAGCTTTTATGAAGAGCAGTAGCCATTCGAAGAACAGAATATTCCAGTTCTAAGAGAAACCTAGCAATTCCAGGACTTTAAAATTGCTTCCTTGGCCTTTGCAAACTTCTGACCTTCTCATCTATTTAGTGATGGGTGGAATAAGCAAAGGCTGCCTCAGAATCAAGAGCAACAGTTGAACAGCAAGACTATCTTAAGCAAGTTAAGCAAGAATAGCGACAAAAGGATAACTTTTAACTATGTTTTGTATTTGTACATAGTAATTTACACACACGCATACATATATAATCTGAACAAAGAAACCTTTTCCAGAAACTGGAAAACATCAACTGAAATCCAAATTTAACCACCATTCCCTTAGCTAATCATGATATTGCTCTTAATTGTGTCTGCATACTGCTTTTTGTCGTTGAATTTTTTCTTAAGGTTCCTGCACTTATTTTAAAGGAAATATAGCAAGAGAAAACTAGTGAGCAGTTTCAATCCTTCAAAATCCTTCAAAATTATTCGTAACCCAAAAAGTTCACAGAAAACACAACCTATACAAGCTTATGTACAAAGGGAAACATTTTAAACTTGTGTTTGACTGCAAAAAGTCTTTGAACGTTGAACAATTCTGACAGTCTCTGCTTAGCTGCAAATGATCCTATAACACATCATATTCAGTAAATTCATTATTAAAATTTGCCTTCACCTTCATGTATAAATCACACTGTATATTAACAAAGAACCAGGAAAGTGCACTTCAGGTTGAGAGCTGCACCCATCGCACACTTTTGACTTCGTTCTGAACAGCATGTTTTTCACTTTATAGTGGAAGAAACTGCTTAAGAAAAAACCTAGAAGAAAACAACACAATACTGCTTTGAGACATCAAACACACTACAGATGTGTGTTTTTCCCTCTGCCCAAACTACAGCTTGGTCAGTTTGGTTCACGGGTTTACAACATTTGTTCTGAAAGAAAAAGAGGTCCCTACCCCTCAAGAGTAATCCACAGCTTTAGTCAATGGATAAATCATGATGATCATCTGTTAGAATTGACAGCTTAGTGTGAACTGCATCTCTGGTCTTCTGAACTGCCTGACAACACACAGTACTCTTTATCTTCCTATAAGCTGTGGAGATTTGTAAAAGTGAGCAAATGGAGGAAGAAAGCATGAGATAAATTCCTTCTTGTACTTCTGTTTTTAAAACCTATTCTAGGACACAGGGAGCCTCTAAACGGTTCCATCCAGCACAATGTACCAGAGACGTCTCTATCAGCTGTCTTTGCATGATCTTTACAGAAAGGCCCAGCTGGAAGTCTCCACACTGGTACTGCTTTAACTTTTCAGTGAGCTTACACACTGTAAAAATCATTCTGAAGCTCTTTTCAACGTTTGTCTCAAGAAAAGCAGATCAGATCATTCAGTTCCAGCAGATAACAATTTTCAGTAAACATTTCCTCCTTCCACTCTCGGTAATATAATACAACTAAAGAATTTCGTATGAGTGAGTGAGTGGCAGAAGAAAAGCATTTGTTCAAAATACTGAATCCACAGTCAAAATGAGGCATAGATTTTAAAAGCTACAGGAAACATTAACAACTCTGTTGCTGAGTACACCCTGATCAGATGGAAGAATTGCACAATTTGCTCCTATTTAAGAAGACCTTTTTTTCACCACAAATGTGGATATAAGAATCTGTAGCTTTAAGCATTTATTTTTGCGCCAATAACCAATGTGCTTTTGGTCTCTCCACAATTCCATCCATATGAAGGAAGGCTGAAGAGAGAAAATAAGATTTATATATATTTCTAGGAAAGACAGTGGAGCAATTTCACCAGTCAAATTGCCAAAAATTTGGTGCCTTTCACACTATTACTCAGGCACACAAACATAGCACCCTCACTTTTAGTACTCTGCATTGACTACCTAGTGGATGATTTTGGGGACCAATGGAAAAAGAGGGTTTCTTAAGAAAAAACAACAGATTTGCCAAATATTCCACAACCATTTTTAAAGCTCCTGTGAAAAACATTTGTTGCTTTTTTTCATTCTGTTCCAGTAAATAACTGACCAGGTTTTCAAAGTCAGTTGAGTGCCTGCTATCCCTACCGGTTGCTGTGATGCTCTCACACTGAAGTGCTTCAGTGAAAACAAAACTCTCTGGGGAAAAGGCTATGTGAACGACATGTATACAATGTACATAGTCTGAAAAGCTAAGTTACTGAGCTGCACATCCTAACACAGCTGCCAGACTCTGCCACGCTTAAAAGGGTGCTGCAAGCTCAGTGCCTACTGTAAATACCAGGAGAATATCAGAGTACTAATGCTTTTTGAGATGGTCAATAACTACAATAGCCATGCAAAGCAAAGGAATAGGAATTAAAGTAACTAACTGAAAGTTACTTTGTCTGTGATTACAGCTTACTAAATCCCATAGCACAGTATCTTCAATTTTTTAAAAGTCAGTTATTTTTACATTGCAAGGAGAGGGAAGAAAATGGATCTGCATCAGAAAGATGGCACATTCAACAGCAAATGTTGGCACAAAGATTTAAATGTATCAAAAAATACTTGCACATTTCTGCTTTCAAATACCCATCTTCAGGCATTTTAGTTTTTCATTTGAACAGAGGATGAACACCGGCAGTGTCATAAGTTGACTGACAATTACAGGGCAGGAGCTCAGGAAGAAGTAATGTTGGCAACCATCCAGGAGGACAAACCTAATCACTGGCCTTCAAATAGCTTTCCCTTGTACATAGAAGAACCCTAAGTATATAGTGTTATCTGAGCTAAATGTGGAAAAAAAGAAGCTGTCTAAGGATGCAGTTAATCTGGAACTTCAATTCTAATCTATTTGAACACTAATTATGATTACAATTAAATTAAACATTTCTGGGAAATTTGGCTACTTTGGATTCTAGAAAAATGATGCTACCATATCATTTCAAGGTCCCGCTCAGATACTATCTCACTGATTTGATCTACTACAATTTCAGAATAACAACAACTTTTCTTGGCTGCTTGTACAATAAAATCAAACTGAATTACTTTCTTTGCTGTAACAATTATACGAAACAAAGATTAATAAAGTCAAATTAATTTGTTTCAAACATGTTGTAATAAATGGTACATTCTGCATACATACGCTAGATCTCCAGACTAATTATGCTTCCATAATCTTCCACACTGCATAATCTCTTTCCTGATAACTTTTAGATCAATAATTTTTAAAAAAATAAAAATCAAATACATGTATTATTTTTACAGTGAGTTCAAGATTTCATAATACAATATGCTAAACTTTCTATCCAACGTATCAAATTCTGGTATCCTGTGGTCACACTAATCACATTAGAGGGTTAAGTATACATAATACTTCTATTTATTTATGTGCAGAAAGAAAAAAAAGTTTCCTTAGCTTACTGACATGACTTCATGCTCACACACCAACTAGACCACTGTCACATGGTGCCTAGTTATGCTGCTCTTCATATTACGTAAAACACTAATATGCATACACATCTCAAGTTAAGTTAAAGGTTTGCCAGTTATTTTTGGTTTGCAAAATTTCATTAGGAAAAATAAAAATCTTAAGAATTTCAGGCTCTAAGATGCAGATTCCTGTCCAAGATAAATGACGACAGACCCTGATTCCTGAAATGGCTGAATTAACAAGCAAATGAAAGTCAGCATAACCTAACACAATTATAATCAATTATCTCTGTATCAAAGAATGTGGCTGCTGTGTGTAGTGTTTGGACCTCTGTGAACACAGTTCTGATATTTCCTTACTAACATATCAGAAGTATTCTAGAGGCATCAGAATATTGCCTAGCACTAAATGCTAATGCACTTCTGCGTGGTATTTCATACATCCTGACACACTTTTTTCATACATCAAACATCAAAACATAGAAAATTCTATTTTGAAAGGGACATCTGGAGGTCATCTGTCCAAATCTTGCTCAAACATGTTCTTAGGATGAAATATGCACGTAACATCCTGACACCCAGCATAAAATATTCACGAAAAATAAAACCTTATTTTGGCACCCACTGATCATATTTCCACTGACTGTTCCACTTTGTCAGAGAAAATGCAATGACTCACCAAACTGGTAGCCATGTTATTTTGCAGCCTTTTGCTTACTGGTCTTTAAGCCTTGTTGACAAATGGGAACAAAACGGGAACAAAATATTACAAAAAATATCAGCAGTTCCAACATCTACAATGACCTGAAATTTTACTCTGATAATTTCGTTCCACTTGACAACAAAGTTTTGAGTCCTATACAGCAAACGGAGACAAGGATATTTAGTAAGAATCTACCTCCCAGCACAGAAAGGTCATGTAGCTCTTGGAGTGGGTCCAGAGGAGGACACTAAGATGATCAGAGGGCTGGAGCACCTCTCCTATGAAAAAAGGTTGAGGGAACTGGGCTTGTTTAGCTTGAAGAAGAGAAGGCTCCGGGGAAACCTCACTGTGGCCTTCCAGTGCTTGAAGGGAGCACATAGACAGGAGGAGGAACAGCTGTTTGTGAGGGTGGACAGTGATAGGACAAGGGGGAGACAACTGAGACAGGGGAGGTCTAGGTTGGATATTAGGAGGAAGTTTTTCATGCAGAGGGTGGTGAGGCACTGGCACAGGCTGCCCAAGGAGGCTGTGGATGCCCCATCCCTGCAGGCATTCAAGGCCAGGCTGGATGTGGCTCTGGGCAGCCTGGGCTGCTGGTTGGCGACCTGCACACAGCAGGGGGTTGGAGCTGGATGAGCACTGTGCTCCTTTGCAACCCAGGCCATTCTATGATTCTATGATTGTTAGCAAATTAATTTTATTTATATCATTAAAACTTGTCATTTGTTCAAAGAGAACACCAGTCTGCTCTACTGATTAAAGCTTCTGTATATCCAGGGTTCTCCATTTTCAGAAGGTGTGAATCCAAGCATTAAAAGGAGAGATATAACTGCCTCAACATTTTCTCATCCTAGGAGATGTTTGCAGACAAAGAAATTTTTTGGCTGCCAGATCTTTTCGCATTTCAAGATGAGGTTTTTGCACAGAGCCACTTATTGCTCACTACACTCGCAGTCACTGCCACTAGAATCAGACTCCGTGAAGGGCATCCCTGAAGTACTCCATGAGAAATTCTGGCTGACTTTCTTTTTGAACATGCTTTTCTTAGACAAAACATACATACACAACAAAGAGAAATGAAGGAGCCCTGGAGCTTTTTTGGACGGCTTTGGGTGGTTTTGATTCGGTTGGGTTTTTTGTTTGTTGGTTGGTTTCTTTCCTTTTTTTTTTTTTTCTATTTTTTTAACGTTCATTTGTTTAGTTTTGTTGTTATTTCTTGTATTTGTTAGATTTTTGGAGGTTTTTTGATTGGCTGTTTTGGGGGGAGAGAGGAATTGTTCATTTGTTTGGCTTTCAAAGGAGAAGTAATCAGCCACAGCATAATGGCGCTCTTCTCTTTAGGGTGTTTGCCCACGTGCAAGATTATGTTAGAATTCCCCAGTAATTACCCATTTTAAGGCTGAGGTTCCAAGACCTTGTTACTTGACACTCTGCCCCAGGTAATTTTCATTCCCAGAGGCACAAAACAAACATTTTTTGGAAAATACTTGCATTCTGGTTGATACAAGTTTGCTGTAGAAAAGTGCAATCTCTGCCAACTGTGGCTTCCCTTCTTTGTCAGTTACACTCAGGGTGCAGGTGGGAAGAGCAGAGCCTGCAGTGCTGTGTCCCTGTTCTCAAACAAAGAGGTTGCAGCCGTGAGACCTGCTACTGAGTATTGTATCGTCTTTTCTCTTGTTTCAACGGGATCGCTTACTACAGAGTCAAAGCTTTCAGTTACTCTAGCCTTTGTACAGCCATAATTACCATAAATTCCATGAAGAAACAACAGTAGCCTAAGGACTTACAGAAGGAAAAACAAACAAACAAACACAAAACAAAAACCTACCAATATGGATAGCCCAAAAGCTGTTCTGCTGGGGTAGAGAAAGGGGGGTTGTTCCTTCACATGTTTCTTTGTAATAATTCAGTATGAATCCCAGCTTCTATCTTTTGAAGTTTCTGATCACAGTATTAGTCCAAAATAACCTGCAAAGGTCTTCTGAATGCAACATGTAAGCTCGCAACCCCCCCAAAATACATTTTAAAAAAAGAACGTTCTTTAAAACACTTGAATGGATCATGATTCTGGGGACCTGACTCATTCTTTTTTTTTTTTTAAATACAGCATTCTCGAGACATTTGCTTGCAAACATTCAGGCACAGTATGTCAAATTTAGTAGGAGCAGAAAAGATACTCTCATGCCCAATAATTTTCTTACTCAATAAACATTTCTCACCTGCTTGATTTTCTGTCAAGGTGCATCACACATGTACTCTCTTTACATACTATTAACTGTATTTTTGGATTTCCTCCCACTTCTTATTTCTGAAACCCAGAACGATGGATAAAACATTCCATAGCTGTTTTACTCAAGCCTTAACTCCAGAGACACTTACAAGATAATCTTATACTGTCAACTGGTTTCCCTTTGAAGATTTTTATCAACTGAATATTAATCAAAATCTCTTCCTGCCTAATCAAACAGTATCCTGAGATTTCTACTGAAAGAGGAACACATTCCTAGCCAATTATGCAACACTATACATCCTTTTGAAATGTTTCTTTTTGTACATCACACTCAGGTTATTTCTGATGTAGTGCTTTTGTAATGTTTGTACTGAAAAACTGTGCACTCAGAAATCAAGGAACTTGAGCTATATAACCAACTCTAACATAGGAGTACTACCTCAACAATAATTAGTTGCTGTGCAAACAAAGTTATAAGATACAGAATCTATAGCACTGATAGCAGCACCAACTTGATGTACAAGTCATAATACACATAAAATTTTAAAATCACTTATTCTTGCCAAGCCAGAATACAATACATCATTGCATAGTATTTCCATTTCATAGTATTACATATTTACCATCCCATTAAAGACAAAATATGTGGCTCAACAGAATTTGTGAAATTGTTACATTTAAATCTGAATTTCATGTTCTGTCTTTTCCATTTTACCCTGTTTCACAAGCAATGATCCCTAAGTCAATACTGTCTACATAATTCCAATGAGTTCACTTTTACTACCAGGAATTCAAACAGCAAATGAATATACAAAGCTGAAGAGCTTATATAAACCTTAAGAGTAATCTCAGCATCTTATCACTTATCTTCTTGCTGCTATTCTCATTAAACTCTTGTAACAATTAATAAGCTATTTATATATAGGGCAATATATTCTTTAATGCTTTCCCAGCTATATTCTTGCCTCAGGATACAAAAAAGAGACGTAGTCCATATACACATTAGTACTTACATTTGCTAATACAGCCTCCTAGTGTCAGTGCAAGTCAGACCTGCACAGCACTCCAGGGATTTCTCTCTGCAACTGCAAAGGCTTGTCTCTGTCTACTAAGATCTGTGTTTATTTTCTGGCACTTATCAGTCCTACTGAATGCCGCATGTTTCACATATTAAAAGTTTGTTTTTGTTTTTAGTTGTTTTTTAATTCTGCCTAGGATAAACGCTGTATTTCTCTAAGTTAAAAAATCCAGGAAACAACAGGGAAAAGACCTGCACGTTATTTCAAAATCACATAGTTCACAATTCCTTTCATTTTGAATTTTTTTCCAGTTACAAGTGAGAACTCGTTTTGGAGAATTCATGTGCTAGTATGCCGCGGAGCTAAAACAGTAATGCGATCGCAACACGAGCGGGAAGCATGACAAGACTCAATGTGAGTGATCCAGCTTCAGTTCATTAACGATTATGCAGAGTTTTTATAGTTGGCTTTAGCTATCGTGTTGCCTTGCTATTGGTGGACAACAGTCGTTTCTAGGCAGAGAAGAATCTAACTACGTGCTATGTTTTTGTCAACTCCCTTAAACCAAGCTCCTCCTTGGGCTACTCCCTGCTGCTCACAATAACATTGCGACCTTCTGTTAGCCTCTAGTATTTTTCCATGGGTATACAATCTGTACTGCCACACAGGCTGTGCTCGTACATCTCCTCATGGCCTCCTTGCTCCCAGAGCCATTCTCCAACAGTAATATTCTGTACTAACTAAAAATTTGTCTTTTTGGAGAGTGCAACACAATCACACTAAGCTCTTGTAAATGACAGCACTGCTTTCAAGAGCCTCAGGCTAGGATGATGGTCCTGAAGATGATTGTGAAGGCAACATCATGCACACATGCTTTGGAGCTACAAGAGATATTAAGAACCAAAAACAATCAATTAATGCAAGAGGTGATAACTGGCTTCTTCTTGTAAGAAAACAACAGCATTGTAAGTTAAACAAGCTCTGAGACAGATGGCTATTGGCCAATATATGAAAATTACAATAAGAGGATAATAAGAAAAGATTGGTATTTCTATCAAAACGTGAGCTTTGAAAAGCCTTTGCTTTCCTCACACGATATGGATGATGTGGCAAATCACTGTATAACACTGTGGACTGAGATGCTGGCCTTTGAAAATTTCTCTGCTGTGAGTGCCTAACCAATGCATCCATGGACTTCGAAGGCTTCTCCCAGCAACACAAATAGAAAGACTGGGAATATTTGAAGTTTGTAGCTAATACATCCTTGCAGATTCTGTTCCATTTGCTGCACATAAATTTCAACTTAGGTTGGGAAAATCTCGTATTTATTACCTTTTCTTCCTCTGTCCTGGACATCACATGATTTCTTTAAGTCAATGCCAGTGCCCTGGGCAATGTAAGGTCAATGCTATTGCAAAATTACTACAAGCCAAGGGGTTCGGTCAGTTTAAAGGCTCTTATCACTTTCTTAATACCAGAAGCTCCAGGGAACAACTCTCAGCATTAGGTTTAATACTTTAAAGGACACCAGATCCTGATGACCATATGATATTGATGTTAAATCTGGTTTTAACTCCATTAGTATGCTTTTATTGGGCTTTATTTAACTTCATACTTTCTTGACAGATGAACTGCTATATATAAATATATATTTATATATATATATAAAACTTTACTTTGAGTTGATACTGACTTATTTTATGCTCCTAGATAATTTTTCATTGACAATGAAAATAATTGACAACATCTGGAATGTAAACACATCACAAGTTTGAAAGGCCATTTTCACCAATAGTAGATCGTAAGAGGGAGAGTCTATACACATTTTAAGGATTATTCATTAAATGTTTCTTTCATCGTTATCTCACTTTGGATAACATTTTCTTATACAAAGTACACTGAGTACAAAAAGATGCAAAACCTGTAATTTCTCTCATGACAGGAGCCATCAAATCTGGAGAGAAGCCTTTGAGGATGCTTCCCTGGAAGAAGCTGTTTGAAAATGCAGCATTTGAAAAGCATCTAACCAGCAATTGCCACAGCAGTAAGATTCTATATAAGCCAGCAGCCAGAAAAAAATCTCTTGTCAGTTATAACATTAAGTTTGTTCACAGTCCTGTTCTTAATTGACATAATATAATACATATGCAAATATAGTAGTTGTTAATGACAGGAGTTATTTCCCACTTTTGCTTTAAAATCCAACAGAGTTACTGGCGTGTGTATCTCTTGTTTAGCTTGCACATAAGACTCATTACAAAAATTCTGATTTTCCTGAACTTCTTCATCTGGCTATGAATTTGTTTCCTATGAATGAGTGCCAGATCAGTGTCACAGGATTCTTAACATAAGCACAGCAACAGCAGCAAAAATCAGGATCTGCTTCTCTTCAGGGCTCCCTGAGGAACTATACCTGATGACTCAGACACCCAACTACTTGTTTGTAGTGTTTGTACGCATGAAGCTGTGGGAAATGATAAAAGCTGGTATGCCTGGGGGGTAAAGGAAGAAGAAAATAGAAAGATGACTGATCAAAGCAAATATTTCTGCCAGCTTGATTACAAAAAGGAACAGAAACAAACAAACAAAAGTTCTAGGTCACTTGTAACAACACTTACCAAGAGTAACTGACTGGAAATTCATTGCATGGTAAAGCAGTCTGCCTAAAGAATAGGCACTAGACTGTACTGCCTTTCACACACATGCTCCTCAGTCAAATCTCATTCACCCTGTTTGCAACCATCAGAATATGTCATATTAGCAGATTCAGGCAATCCTTTCCAATTCAAAGGAGAAAAGATTCAATATAAATAATGCAGGTAATGGAAAGATAGGAGTGGAAGGAGTTTCTCCCTATCTTCTGAGCTCACACAGTTGTTAGAGGCATATTTTGCTACCCATTAAAATTTTTTTCCAGAAAAACGCATTTTAGTGATGAAGGGAACAGTGAACCCATTTCCCTGCTAAGCATAGAGAGACATCATGCAGATGGCAAAGGAAAACAGCGGCATAGTAGTGCAGTGAAAGATTCTTCCATTCAAGTGATGGCAAATAACTGTGTTCATTTTGATACATGGGCTTATATCTGACATATATTTTCTTCCCAACAAAGAAACTGGTATTCAACAAAACGACAATGGTGGGGAAAATTGCTTACAGGGCTTTGCAAAAAATGATGTGGTTAAATAGTTGTATAATTTCCTCTTATCACATAGCACTTTTCTCGCATAGGATTGGGAAGGTAGAGACATGTTTTATATGCAACCTCTTCTACTTTCATGACATGGATACTGTAAATAATGCAAGCTTTGCATGAGAGGCTGTCAGCAAAGCAAAATTTCTTAAAGGAATGACATCTTCCATAATACATTACAAAATGATGTAAGCCTTGAATAAAAATACACTATCACAATTTAGGAATAACAATACCCTGTATTATTTGAGACCTTAATGGCAATGAGATTTAGCAGTTAGAGTAAATAATTAGGAAACAATATTTACGAATTCTTTTCCTTACTGCTGACTTTCTCCTTATCCACAGTATATGTGGGCTCATTTTAAAAGACAGTAAACTTAATGCACTCTCACATGTAATTCCAGGAAAGACATTCATCTCCAGTCGATATTCTCTATTCTATCAGAAGTACAGTTAGTTCAGTTGCATTCACCTGGATGATAGGGTGTTATACTGACAAATGAAAACATAGCTGATAGGCAGTCTGCTAGCACATACATGTAATAGCCTTAAGAATTAAGAAGGGCTATTATCTAAAGTTGTATTAAAAATGATGATTGAATTGAATTCTGTTCCACACCAGAAATCGAATACCTTGTGAGGCCTGGAAACATCAGACACAGCTACAAACTTTGGTTTCCTTTCTTTTTTTAGGAGGAAGTTTTTCCCCCAGAGGGTGGTGATGCACTGGCACAGGTTGCCAAAGGAGGCTGTGGATGCCCCATCCCTGCAGGCATTCAAGGCCAGGTTGGATGTGGCTCTGGGCAGCCTGGGCTGCTGGTTGGTGACCTGCACACAGCAGGGGGTTGGAGCTGGATGAGCGCTGTGGTTCTTTGCAACCCAGGCCATTCTATGATTCTATGATCTATTTGTCAGGTGAGTGCTGCTGACATACAGAACCAAGGGAGAACTCAGAGGCAAAAAAGCATCCAGTCTTCATGTGCCAAATAGAAAGCAAAAGAGCAAAGGGAGCTTTACATGGTTTTCAAGCTTACTGATGGTCCCTATCAGTAGCAGCAACATGTATTTAGAAATTAGTAGCAACTGTCTTAAAAACCAACATTAATTCAATTATTTTGTTACAGACTTTTGTAAAATGAAACAAAGCCCTTGCAAATGGGCTGATGACATTAACAGTGAGAGCAGCCTGCTTTCCATGACTTACGCACAAAGGATAGCTTTGCTGCTCTAAGATGTTTACAACTGGAGATCTTATCCAAAACTTCCTACTTTGCTAGTGCTTGTGTTGAAAGCAACAGTATTTCAAATATCTGATCATTACATCCTAAGTGCAGGTCTGAGATAAAGCAGCGCTATCATATTTTAGGCTTTTTGTGACTTTTTCTTTACTTGCCTCAGTGACATGTACTATAAACTGAATGAGTACTTGCAAAAGACATTTCAGTTTTGGCACCTGCTCTTCTATTAAATTACTACTTCCTCCCTCAGTCTGTAAAGGAAGTTTAAAAGAAGCAAGGCAAGCACAATGGAAGCAACATAAAGCGTTGAGCACTAAAGAGTCCAGTGGCATTTCCCACTGAGTAGACTGGCATTAAACATCTGCTGACATTTCCCACAGCCAAACACTACCAGCTGCAGCTGTCTGCCCTGGCCAGTGGCAGCACGTTGGGACAGGAGACACCACATGCCAACAAGCACCAGTTCACTGCCTCCCAGCACATCTGTCCATGCACAACTTTATATCCCAATGTGGATGCACCCCACAGTAACGCAAGTGCGGGGTCTGAAAAGCTGTGGGTTTTTTTTTTCCTTGTTCTTAGTTCAATATTGCTATTAACATCCTTCAGAGCAGAAGTCACTAGAAGGAGATAAGTGCCCACCCTATATGAAGACAGTACTGAGGAACCTTCTGGAAGGACAGACAGTTCGAGAAACTCCACCAGCACCCCTGGGTGAGTGAGAGCCACGCACAGCCAACACCTGCATTGGAAACACCTGTGACAGGAAATCAAGCACCCACGGGACAGAACCAGGCCATTCTGAGAGAAACGTGGGTACCATCAGGACATCTGCGAGTGGGGAGCTTCAGAAGCAGCTCTGATTACCTTTGCTGGAGCTGCTCAGACACCGGCCCACCATCTCCATCTCCGCCGCCGCCGCCGCCGCCGCCTCCCGCTCCGCCTGAAGCCCCTCCAGTGCAGCACTTCCCGCCCGCGCGCCAGTTGTTCTAACAGCGGCCGCACGGGGGCAGTCAGGTGCAGAAAATGGTGCTGTTTGCTGCGGAGTGAAGCTGGTAAACCGTGAAGGGAGGAAAAAAAAATCACTGCAGTTTCAATTTAGAGAAGTTTCTTAGAAAAAAAAAAAGGAGCTCACGGGAGGAAAGTATGAAAAGGTTTTAGAGCGATGAAGACAAAGTTCTGCACAAAATCTGATCCTCAGCCAGCGCGGCAGCTGTGAGCAGACGTGACCTTCCTGAGGAGAATTTCTCTGCTGTGAAGGAGGCATCTGCTTTGTGAGGGAGGAAACCTTATCAACAAAGCCTAAAACTTTGATTTTGCTCGGAAAAGACAGTGGGCGAATGGCAGTAAGCCTCCCTGAGACATCTGATGGAAGCTGGGATGCCCGCAGAGCTTGGGCTGGAAGGAGCTCACCCACCCGAGAGCGCTCCCAGCTTCACGCAGCCGAATGCCACCTGCGTCTGGGCAGCACAGCCCAGGGCTCGTCAGCACAGCTGCTGGTGGGAGCTCTGAAAATTGTGGCCTTGTGTTTTCGATCTAGATGTAGAACTGGTGGTACATTTCTTTGACTGGTGCTTTGTTCAGATCTCAGTTTTGCTGAATGCCCATCTCAATGTGACAGACATTCTAGGAAGAGATGAAACTCAGGAGGATGACAGTAAACATGTGAGGGAGGCTGGCAGGGCTGATTGTGCCTTATCATAATGGCCTTTCCTCCTGCACAGCCAAGATAACGTGTCCCTGCTGCTCAGGGACCGCTCACTGCAGCTGTAACGTTACAGAGGTCTTCATTGCCTATAGAGTCAAAATATAAAGATTCCTTTAGGTACTGATATCCATGATCTGACATACCTAACTGCCAAAGATGATAGGAAAGATGCCAGTAACGATTTCAGCTTATCAGATTTCTGTAATGCTGTCCAGCATACAGTATACAGCTTGGAGAGGAAAAGAAAAAAAAACACACAACGCTTTCTGCTACGTTGATTGGGTAACTTGTTAAGTTCATCCTTCAGTTTTGACTCTTGGATGCTGCAGTTAGATAATTTGCAAATTCAGTTTTTGTTCACAAGCTTTCAATTTGCCTTTGACAAGCAAAACTATTCACTGATTAAAACAAAACCCAAGGACATCTGAGCTAAAAAGGTAATAATGTGTCACTGTTCCCTGATATTCCTAATTGTTCTGCAGAAAACTATGATGTGCATGATTATTTTTTTTTTAAGAAAAAATTACATGTTTTGATTATGTTTTGTCAGTACCGCATCCCATCCACCTGTTACAACAGAGGAACATTACTACCTGCTCCCAATATTTTCTTACGTGTTCTGTGCAATAGGTTTGATACTTACAATAAATATATCAATGTGAGACTCTCATCAGTACTTATTTACTGGTGGATGTGAAAGATGGGGTTATAAAATCAGCCACTCATTACATGCAAAATTTGTGTGCAAGGTGTGATGGCTAGCTCAGTTTATCTAGAGCACTGCAGTTTTTGCTGCTGGTTGAAACACACCTGTTAGTAATGACGTAGTATTTCAAAAAGTCTGTTATGTGAGAATTCTCAGTAGAGATTCAAATTCTCAGAATTTTCCCTTTGCAAAGTTGTACTGCCTGTGTGAACCTTGACTGCTTGTTAACAGCAGTATTCACAGATTGTTGTTGTTACCTAGGCAACCACTCCAGGTTCCCTCAGAGCTCTTGCTTTTTTTGTTCTATGATTAAGATTTAGGTGCTGCCTTTGGCTGATCTTGTGGGAGTAGGGAGTAGTACAATTTTCACAGGTGTGATATTGATTAACATTTTATTTTTTCAAACAATAGTAATTTCAGCATTTCATAAAGGATGGCAGGATTACATGAATATTAATTTTGCTAAATTATAGTTTGTTTATAGTTACAGTTTCCTCAAGGCAATTTTAATTCACACAACAGACTGATTGAATTCTACTAGTTTTGCTTTTCTCTATTTTTATGCAGACTAGCTGTAATTCAAGTGTGCTTCTCTTGTCCTGAATACTACTATGGATCTTTTTCACTTACTTGATGTTGCGTTCTTGGTTTGTGACTGATGTTTACCTCAAATATAAGTGGCAAATATGTTGCTATTTACTGTGACTTCCACAAAGACCATAATAGCTATCACCTCTCTTCTCTTGCCTTGGTCTTTGTGTAGATGAGTAAACTGCACCTGAGGCCAAATTTTACTCAATGGGTATGACAGAAGGAGGGTTAGAACCACATCAGCGTGGTTCTAGGTGAACATCCTCTCTTATCTTCTTGAAGCAGATGCACATAAATAATCCCAAATCGAAATGATTCTAAAACTCAGATGAGGAACATGCATGGAAAAAAGATGAAAACGAGAAAACATTAACTTAAAGTTCAGCTTGAGCTTAAGTGATTTCCTCTCTGGGAGGGGGGAACCCACAACCTTAAGAACCTTGTAGTCTTAGTGAGGTACAAAATCAGGAGCTCAAGCGAAACTAAGATCTGACCAGACAAATATGGAATCTCCATATCTTTGCATACAAAAATTACATGATGTCTCTCCAAGCACTTACTGTATTAAAATATTTTAGAAAGGCAGAAATTTGCTTTACAAAAAAAAAAAAAAAAAAAAAATTATAGAACAAATCTTCATTGGCATGAAGAGAGTTCCTAATACGGCACAGAATGTTACATAGAGGAAAATGCATATCTGATTCACATTTCACGATATTTCAAAAGTTTTTTTTAGAAAAGACATACTTTTTCTAGTATCTTTTAGCATTTTTTCAACATGTTTGTGAAGTGTTTGAGTCTTACAGAATTTATGTTGATGTTGAATGCATCTGTTATAATTTCTGAAAATGTCCCAGGATTAAGTAGACCATTTTGCTTAATATGAAAAGTACAAAATACCTTTTTGTGTGTATGAAAATACAAGAATCTCAGGCAGAAACCATTACATGCGGATTTCACCATTACAATAAGAAATAAACCATTGAGCTCATTTTTAGAAATTGCAGTCAATAACTACTACTGTGTTAAATATATTTGTAAGGAGAATGCAAAAATGCATGAAACATGAGTAGAAATTCCTGATTTTTTTTTTTTAATTATTTATTATTTTTATAAATATAGTTCTTCTTGGGAAAGAACATTTATTTCTTACACTGAAGGAAAACCCGTTTTGCTTCATTTATGAAAGTTTTCAAGTACAGCTCAAAATCTGAATAATATCTGAATTCACTACTTGGGTAAGATCTTTTTTTGAAGCATTTAGTGTATCTTAAATCTTAAAAAAATCACTTCAAGAATATTGGGAGACAATGAAATATAGTTCTACTGGTTGAAAGCAATTCTGGATCATGAGCTCTTTTGTAAACATTGAGCTATGTACTCAACAGGCCTTCCATTTGTATGCTGCTTTAATAAATACACATACTTTTTACAATAGCACTTGCAGTTGCCTTGTTTTCTCAGGTGGCTC